CTTGATAAATAGTTGCAGCTCGGCGAATCCTTGGCGATTCATAAGCGAACGCAAAGCGGAAACGGATACGGATACGGATGCGGATGCGGATGCGGAAACGCAAGCGAAAGCAATAATAAACTTAGCAATCAACTGTCAGTGCGTAATGGAAACTTGCTTCCCGGCTGCAGTTTTTCGACTGCGCCACTCCCTGGGAAAATGCAGTCGAGGAAGACAAATGATTAGCCGGGACTCACGTGCTCCGTACCCACGACGGAGAACCGGATCTGGAACTGGGTTATGTTCGGGCCAGCGCGTGATCTTTGGCATATGTCGGCGTGCACCGATATGTATCTATGGCTCTGGGTAAGTGGGCCGTAGGGCCCGTCAGCCAGGTAAAAACAGGAAACAACTTTTGACCATTTTTCAAATTTCACCAGTGCCCACCCCCCACCCCGCTGCATGCGCTGGATTTCGGTGAGCAATTTCAATATGCTCGGCACGTTTCCGCATGGCAGAAGCAGCAGGAGCAGCAGGAGCAGTTGCTGTTTACGGCCAGCTCCATCTCCGTCTCCATCTTGTGCCCGGCCACGCCCATTGGCCGGGCCAGGTCGTAAAGTGCCCGCCACGGTATTTACTCAGGGCCCTGGAGTTGAGTAATGATGACCATGATGCAGCAGCAGCAGCAGCAGCAGCAGCAGCAAAGGATCGAGGTGAGCGGGGCCAGGAGGACGCAATATGCTCGGGGCTGACGCTTATGCAAATATGAACAACACATGCCGGAGATGCCTTCAACTCGGAACAAGGCTCCCATTCAAATGGCTCCTCTGAAAATCATGTCCTGGCAGCGGGTCAGGCGCGGATTACCTGATGCACTTTCCAAGGCTAGTTCGAATTTTTCGAACCAAAAAGTAGGCATTTAGATGAAAATTGGAAGGACTCTTTTCGGCCGCCACCAGCTCTCCCATGGAATCCAATTAGATTAATGCAAGGCAATATAAACAATTATGACTCCCATGATTGTTTTTCAATGGATGACGACACGCGGCCTGTCTCCTGGCTATCAGCCTGCCTCCCTTGCCACCTTGCCCACCCCTCGATCATAAATCAGCAATGTTGTGTGTCCAAATATGAATTTAATTAAAGGTCCCTTTATGACAACAAGCGGCGGCTGGGTCGTGTGCTCGGGTCCACTTTAAAATATTACCAATATTGTCAGCTCTTTTCGGTGCGACCTCCGGCTCCTTCCGCTTTCCCATGCATTAGGCTTATTAGAAGGACACGCGTTCGCGTTCGCGTTTGCCGGGGGCAAGTGGGGCAATGTGCAGCGCATGCAACTTTTGGTTGTCAAGGTTGGTTGCCGCCTGACACCGTAGGATGGCCCGTCGGCCAGCACCCTAGCCACCCCAGGACTCGCTTTATTTGCCGCAAACAGTTCACGCATCAAAGGACCTGCAACGCATCCTTCGCAAGGCGGTTGCCACGAGTGACTCCCGAGTCGTTGAGTGAAGGTACACAAGGGAAAATAAGGTTAATTTATTTAATTTCATTAAATATGGGTCAGATCAAAGGGATTCGAGCTCATTTTGTAGGCGGCTCGACCCTTGATAATAAACGTTAAGCAGAATGATGGGTATTCCAAGTAACAGTGAAATTTTTGCCTGTGTATCATCTAGTTGGTCTAGATGGTCCAGACCAGTCTGGTCCAGCTTCTTTTGATGATGTGTTTCCTTGGGCCATAATGCCGTCACAGTTCCAGTTGATGCATGCAAATCCCGATTTTGCACAGGACACGCGTCACTAGGCATCAGCCCTCCTCCATCCCTCCAGCGTTTATATCCTTTGGGCGTCACGTGCTTCAGCGACAATATGGCAACAAACGTTTGATTGTCAGGGTTACCCATATGCGTGGTGGATTTCCCTTTTACGCATCCATTGCGGCCGGAACTTTCCCGGAATTTATTGACGGGGAGTGCAGACTAGGCAGAAGGTGTGTTGCTATTAGATTCAAATCCGATTTGGCAGATACAATCGAACTTCAACAGATCGAATCACAATTTCAGTTGCGTAGCTTTAATAACACAAATTTTCGAATGGTTATAAATGTGTAATCCATTGCCAGCTAAAAATGGAAATGGAAAGTAGTAGGTATTTCTCTACCTTATTCCAAAAACCTAAAACACGATTGCCCTGACATTCAAGACGATGACAACTCCGTTTGGCCGCACCTTCGCATTGATGGCTGCCAACTGTGGACAACAAGCACTCGTCCTTTGTTTATGCAATGCCTGAAAACGCTTACAAATTATAAATCAAAAGTGACTTTTAATTAAAAGTTCAAGCCTCTGTGGCAACCGACGGATGGGGGATGTGGTTGCTGGGAAAGCCCGGCTAAGATGCTGACGCCAAGTGTCGTTCGTCCGCCGGCTTAATTTTGTTTTGCCAGCGCACCCTCATAAATCACAAAAGGAGCAAAAGTCGGGGAACGAGGGTTGATGTTCCGGACGCAGACTGCCAGTATATTAATTGAAGGTGCAAATGCGACGTACTCGCACCCTCGAGGACCAGGAGAAACAGACAGCTACTGAGAAAGGAAAACAATAAAGGATGAGCATGAGGACGAGGATGAGGACTACGAATGCAAAATACGCAACAGTTTCATTTAAGTTGGAGTTTTTCATGTTCGCCCAGGGAATCGCCGTCGCCACAAAGGAGCTGGAGCGGAAGTCTCGATTGCAGTCGCCGGAACATAAAACCCACTTGGCCACATTTTCACCCCTCTGGCAGGGTTGTTTTCCCCCGATTTCCAAGGACTCGCCGTTGTCTTGGTGGTGGTGTCAAGTTCTTTTTGCGCCGTCAACTTGAATTATCATAAGTAATAATCATAGCCCAAATATCCGGAGAAGCTGGGACAAGGTGCACCGAGGGTATGGGGTCGGTTGTTTTGTTTTTCCTGGGCGGGCACGGGGTTTTCCTCATTGGGGAGTTTTTTTTACCAAGACGCTCAGTTAATTGCGCGACCCTCGGGTCTTTATTGGCATTGCAGGCCAATCTGGGGCGTCTCGTTTGCCACTGGGCTTATTCGATAATTAACCGGGAGTTCCCAGTAGTATCTGCATAGCTACAATGCAGGAGCGATCTCTGTCCAACATGCTCGTCGCCATCGGTCGTCCAAGGGCGACAAGTGTTAGTGCCCAAATCGGACCACGCCCACATGGCCGCCCAAGTGGGTGGCAGTGGAGTGTAGGTATTCTGGGAAAAGGGAGTTGAGCACTTGGGCAGGGTTGCCAAAGCCAAACACCACAGCAATTGAATGCCAGTCACAAAAATGCAATCACAGTTTGACACAATTTCACCGAGGCGCCACTTCAACACGTTGCAGCTGCAATATCCTTGCAGTTACAAGAGCCAGCCCACTCACACACGCACACACTCGCACACACTCGCACACACACGCACACACTCGCAACTCTGCAAACAACACAATGACAACTCTTTAACGCAGTTAACTTGGCAGCGCTGCAGCGACAATCGATGTGATGCCGATGCAGAGTTACCCATTTGCAAGTACTCTACAGGGTATCGCGAGTATCTCATCGTAACAGGCCTTATCGGAGGAACTTCAGTGCGTAATCGTACTATATAACACTTGATGGTAACGCTATCTAAGGTGCATATAAGTGTCAACATTGAAACCAATAAATAATGTTTGAATATAACGACCTAAATGATCTTGACCGTCCCTTCCTCGTTTAATAGCTTGAACTCTGACCCAAATAAGTCATACGAACATCACACTGCATCCAATCCAACTAATCCAATCCAAACTAATACTATTAAGTTATAAGCCTATTTTAACGTTCGCAGCATATTATCAATGAATCACACCAGTTTTACGAGGCTTGAGTTGTTATCAGCCCAACTATTTTGATTAGAAAGTTCAGAGCGGATTGAATCTTATCGAACCAGAAAACATACAATTTACCGCCTGACCTATAGAAACAGGTGATTTATCTTAGCAATCAAGATTATGACAGTAATAAATTTCAATTAAATAAACCGTTTAGACACTATAAGCTCTAATAATATAATTTATAAGCCCAAGAAGTTGTCTACATTTTGCTTGATAAATCTGTAAGATTTATAAATCTTGTACTTTTGGACTGCTTTCTGCCTAGGGCTTCAGCTATCCGAGGGTATCGGGAGATTCCGTACCGCAGGATTACCTTGCACTCCTTGGATGAGCGTGCTCGAGTGCATTTACTCACACACACAGTGGCACAAACACAAACACAAACACAAACAGATGCCGTTGCCATTTTTGTCTTTTTGTTGTTGTTTGATTGCGTTTTTATCTTCGTCAGTTCAGCAACGCCAGGATGTGGGGAAAAAGGACGAGTTGCAAGGACGAGTTGCAGAGGCAGTGCAACTGCAGCATGGAAGGGAACGGAAGGGGAAAGGGGGTTGCAGCGATATTTTACTGCGACAACATTTCATCGCAAACATTGTGCAATTTCACTTTAAGCGCCAATCGAATTTCACGTGATTTCTACAAGCAGTTCGCCCGACTTTTGACTTCTCTACGGTGTCCGCAAAGCGCATTGTGTCCCACTTTTTGCAATGAGACACATTGAATACGCTTGCAAGATTATAATTTGTTTCTGTTACTGCTGTTACAGCAAATGCTTACTTATAGATCATGTAATCATGTTGAGGTGTAAATTTGTTTACTCTGCAATGCGAACATTTCGAAGTCATAAAGCAAATAGTCAAAGTTACCAATCCCACTAGGTCATAGTGAGGAATCTAAAAATCTATGGGTGCGACTCGCTTTTTGCTATGACATGGGCTATGGGCGAATGACATGGAGTTCAAAGAAATGCGTTGGCTCATAAATGTTTATTTATCACCTAATGCTAATAAATATTTACTAGCTTACCAGCAATTATTTTATATTTATTTAATGATAAGCCACAGCATTTCGCAAGAGAATAAAAGGAGTGAGAAGAATTGAGTTCGCGTCTAGTTGCTGAAGTTAAGCGGAGCACACTGTTCGAAATGGAGGATCACATGTTTATCCGATCGCTTTTACTCGCTATTTGTATCTGCGGAATTGAAGCAAATATATTGCCCAGGCTGCCGGAGAACATACAGGATTTTAAATGTGAGGAAGACGATATTGGATTTAAGTTCAACTTAACAGACGTAAGAAAAGTCCAACGTTTAACGTTGTAACGTTATACTAGGCGATAATTATTTATATGACTCAAATCTGATGATTGATCTGATCTGATTTCTAAGTTCGCCGGCGACTGGTACGAGACTCTCCAAATACCATATGTTCCGGGAGTGGAGTGCCTGAATGTGTCGATTCCCTCGGAAGCCAAGGGCAATATTCTCACGTTGGACTTGCGCTACGTCACCATACTCAATAACAATTGGACCGTCAGCAGGGAAGCCGTGAGCTTTCCCTGGAACAACTCCACCCAGTTCGGCATCTTCCATCCCGATGGCAGTGAGGTCTCATACAAGCTGGTGACCACCGACTACGTTTCCATAGCCGTTCTCTGTGGCTACGGGAGCAACTCCGTGATCCCCATCTTCAAGCTCTTCACTCGAGATCGCGAGGTCAGCGCGGAGATCGTCGAGCTGATCAACACCCAGGCCGAGGAAAATGGTTATAGCTCCCTGATCTATTGGGAAAAGCAATCCCTTGAGGAGTGCAGGGAACCCAGTGGCCAAGCACCTTTGGCAGCTCTAGTGGGTCTAACCTTACTTTGTGGCTTATCTATTTGGGCTAGCAACTAGAATGAAAACCAGAGGGCGCGCTGTAGTCGTGTTTCCCGACTATCAGATACCCGTTACGCACCTAGTAGAAATTTCAGTATTGCTTTTCCATATCGATAGAAACTGGGAGAAATAATAATAAAATATTGTATAATATGTAGTTGTATATACATAATACATGTAACTTGTATTGTATAATATTGTATAAATTGTAGCTGAGTAACGGGTATCTGATAGTCGAGGAGTTCGACTGCAACGTTCGCACTTATCAACTATCGTTATTGTTAGTACGAGCTTATAGAATATGTGCACGTTTTAATGTAGATAAGCCCTATCGGTAACAGTGAGTCATCGCATAAGTTTTCATTAATAAATCGGCACCACTGATAAGCACATCACTGGAGAACTGAAAGCTTGGGCGGCACGGCAAGGCGTTTAGTTGTCTGGAAATCGGCACCGCGAACGGATCGAAATGGAGGTTCAAACATACAAGTATATGTGGATAATTGCATTGGTCCTCTGCAGCTGTGGAATTCCATTGGAGGTCGAAGCGGTCCAGACGAGAATGCCCGTTTTGCCAAAGTACCTAAACTGCCGGAATGAGAGCATTGCGTTTAACTTTAACCTGACGCGAGTGAGTAAAACCAGTACAAGTTTGGTACATTGCCTGGGAACTACTATTTTTCCAGGGGTACTTTGACTTTAAATATATTTATTCAAATAACCCACCACTTAGCTGTCAGGTTACTGGTACGAGGCGGCTAGAGTGCCCAATGTCCAGGTACTGGAATGCCTGAATGTCTCTGTGCCCGCTGAGATCGAGGAGGGCAGTCTCTCGCTGGACTTGAACTTCATCAGCACTGTGAACAATAGGTGGCAGTTCACCGAGGAGTCCGTCGCGTTCCCCTGGGACGACTCCACCCAATCCGGCATCTTCAAGCTCCAGTACGATACAATCACAGTGACCTACAAGCTGATGCTGACGGACTACGAAAACTTTGCCTTTCTCTGCGGATACGGAAGCATTTCGCCCGTTCCGCTGTTCAAGCTCTTCACCCGGAATCGGGAGGTCGACCAGGCGGTGATCGACAAGGCGGAGAAGTTCGCTGAGGAGAACGGCATGGGCGGCCAGATCGCGTGGGAGAAGCAATCGCCGGGTGAATGCAATGGTTCCGGCGGACTAGCTTCTATGGAAACTCTAGTGGCTACCATGGCAGTGCTCTGGGGCTTAAGCTTGCGAAGCTAAATTTTTGCTTCGAAATTACTATTTGCAAAGTGAATATTTCATTTTTCGCTACCACTATCAGAACAACTTCCTATCAATGTTTTCATTTTGTTTGCACGCAATGTGTTTTATTTGGGGTCATTAAAATGTGATTGTCGGGAACGGCTATTATTCTGGTCATTGCAAGCTAATGAGTAAGCTAATGTGATAATTAAAAACGTACTTGTAATTTAAAATATTGTTGAGTATTGAGGGAAAGCTATTTTACTCTTATCACTTCCCTCTAGCTTCTGGCTTTTGCTTTTCATTCTCTTAGATGTTTTCGAGTCCTCTCTTTGACCTGATGAGCGATTTGTATTCCGATTAAATCATGCCAATGCATCTGTGGGATACATGGGGAGTGAATTTATACTTCTATGCACTTTCCGATGGAAAGTGTGCATCGGGCGCCTTTGCCCCAGTAAGCTCATACGAGTTGCAATTACGAAGCCCGAAATTCAAAGAGAAAATGCCGAAAAATATGAACTGAACTGAACTGGAGCTCAAAAATGCTGTTGCTTGCTCGATTTTCTTGGCAATTTTCATTTTCATAAACCCAATTCCCCCGGCGGAAAATAAAGTGAATGGAAAACGCCTTAAATCGAGATCGATCCATTGTTCGCATCACTGAGAGAACTAATACTCCATTCTGGTATTCATTTTAAGCATAATCATTTTAAACATGTACTAATAAGTCTAAAAAATAAGATAAGATTATAAATATTTATTAAGTTCAGAGTTCCATATGTTGAAGTAATATTGAGGATTTTTTCCCCTGTGCTGTTTGCCTTCCTATTGCCCCGTTCTTGGGTGAGCCAATGAAGTGAAAACCGTGGTCAAATGAGCCGGAGTGGGGAGTCCTGGAGAGCCATCGATAGCCGGGCACTTTCATTGATTTGATGCTTGATGCGTTTGCGTGCCGCTTGCGATGGTTGCATGCTCGACTTGAGCGCCACCCAAAGCCAGCTGAAATCGAGGAGCCGCAAAGCTGTTTACTTGCAGCTAACCAAGTGAAATTGAAAGCCCTCTTGGTCCCCGATAATTGTGTCCGGTCTGAGCACCCAATCCAATCCGCTCCTGCTCCTGCTCCTGCTCCTGGTCTAGTCGTTCGTCTGGGTAATGGGATGCGGAAGCTGAGATTGGGTGTACACATGTGTTCGTGCACCAGATGATTACTGGGTCCCACAATCGACGTAATCATGCGATGACGCTGCAAAAGTATCCGCAGACTCTCCAGATGCCCAGCCACGCCCACCAAACACAGTGGATGGAAGGCAGCAGAACTCGGGGAAAGCTGGCTAAAAACGAAAGTTAATGTGGCACATCGGTGGAAGGGTTAAACGGAGCCAACAAGTGAGCCCCAGCGTACGTGTTCCAATTAAATTTGACATTTGCTCTTAATAGATGTGCAACAAGGTTTCCATTTCGATTGAGCTACGCCCCGAAAGTGGGTTCATCAGTGAGCTTCTCCTTCCAGACTTCAATGGTTGAATAGTTTTCAAAGAGAAACCAGAAAAAGCGGCCTACTTTGGGGCTAGAAACGAGTAGAATTCCTAATAATGGCCCAGGCAATAAGTTAATGGGATTTTTTTGCTAGCTGTGGATAACAATATCTGTCATAATCAAGCGTTTTTAAAGATTTTCCCAACTCATTACGACTAACTCCTGACAGATTCACAATTTATGCTCTGCACGACGAACTGCTCAAAAATGCAACTATTCAAAGTGCAAGCACAAAAATCTGGCCAACTTTGCGCATACTGCACACAATCGGAACTGCGAGGGGAAAGGGATAGGGGGCCAGGATCCTCCAGCCTCCTCCGAGGAGGGGCCAAAAAAAACAAAGCCTGCTGCACAAACATGCGAAACTATTAAAAACATGTCTTTGTCCTTTGGCCCGGGGTGCATATAATGAAATTCCTAGCTGCTTTGTGCCCACGACGAAGCCACTTGGCGGGATGTCCCGATCCCTGATCTGTCCCCTACATATATCCCCCTGCTGGTTTTTTGCCGTATCAATCTAGGTGAAATATTAACAAGCGGGAGTCGGGTATAAAGTTGGCGGGACGGAAAGCTGAGGGACAGAAGGACGCCGGCAAGGCAGCTCATAAAAATTCCTTAGTTGACGACAAGAGCTGAGGACTGAGGACTGAGGAGGAGGACTCTGGAGGAGATTGGTGGGCCTAGGGGGCGGCGGAGAGCTGGCTTAAAGCGGACCAAACGGCGATGAAACAATAGACTCGAGTTAACTTAAATTGATTCCCAGACGTTCCCGGCGAAATGAAACCCAACTCAATCTCGGGCGGGCTTCGCCATTTTGTTGTGACTCCAGAGTCACTGGAACCCCATCCCAGCCCTTTTCCGTACTTCTTGCACCTTGATTGCAAGTTATTTGCAATTTTGTGCAAATTTAAAAGGAGCAAAAGGACGAAAATGAAGGGAAATGAAGGAAAATGAAGGGAAACCCAGCCAGACGGCCACCATCCACCCACCCACCTTCACCTTCAGCCAGTGACTTTGGCACTGCACTTGAAAATTTTTTAAGTGCGCGCGAAATTTTTCATGCAATTTGTGCCGGAAAAGCAGGAATACCCGCACCGAATAAAACTGGGACCGAGCTGGTGGGTTATTGTTGTGCCCAGGAGATTGGCAGACTCCTCCTCCGGCTGCTCAATTTGCTGGTTTATTTTTGCATTCGGGATATTAAAATTGACACTTCATTTGTGTCACTCCCGCGGCAGCGACGTTGAAGGGATTTTTTAAATGATTTTCAAGCGGCTGCATTGTTGTCGATTGCCGTTGATTGTGCAGCAATTTGCATTCAAGGATTCCAGCACTGCATTCAACATGGAGTCCTTGTTGTGGCTGGGGACTTGACTTAAGCTGTGTGGAGTGCTCCATTTGGCCAACATGGATGGCTAAGTCGGGCAGTGGATATGGGTCTTAATGGAAGGTATTATAGGTGGAAGGATTACTGACCATGTTGTGATATCCATCAACTTGGACTTCAGAAAATTGATAACTATCTCAGTTGTAGGTATCATCAAACAAAGTCTTGATGTTTTTCAGTCTGTGCCCAGCATGCTGCCTTTATTTACTCCAACACTCCTCCGCCTGGAGGAAAGGACCTGGCCCAGGAAGATTTCATTAAGTGCCGGCCGTAGAACTCCTGCCGCCGCCCCACATCCTCGAGTCCTGTGAAACGCAACAAAGGAGCTGCAACAATGCCCGACCAACGGCAAGGTTGCACTTGAAGTCATTCAGCTTCGTCCTGGCAGTGCAAACTTTTTAAGTGAATTTTTGATTAGATCTGGACGAAACTTTTTTGTCGCACCGCCCAGAAAGTCGGGATTGTAGGGCGTGGCAGGGCGTGGCAGGGAGTGGCAGGGAGTGGCAGGGGGGAAACGGTTATAGATATAGTTGTCTTTCCAACTTAAAGTCACCAGTTAGTTGCGCTCTTTTGTAATTTGCGCACAAGTATATTTATTTGTGCGAAAGGATAATAATAAAATATGCGCTCCAGATAGTGTTGCGCAGTATTGCCAACTTGTCCCTGCTCCTGGGTCCCCATCTCGTCCCTCCCGTCCTTCCCGTCCCTTTTCGTCCTCGACGGTCCGACGAAACTGTACCTACTGCAACTTTTCGCGAACAGTTCACAGTCTGTCTGACCCTCACCTGCACTTTGCCCCACTCCATGCCCATTGCATCGCTGAAGTTTTGCGCAAAAGTTAATAAAATTATTTGCCACAGACTTTGATAAATATGAAACAGGTCCTGGCAAATGGCGAATAAATACAGAAACGGCAAGCTGAAACAGAAAATGTTTTGGGCCACTTTGTCCCTGATACGAAATATTTGGCAAAGTTTTATTGCAATTTTTGTGCAGGCTGTTTTAAGTAATTACGGTGCAGCAGAGATGCTACTAGACGAGTTTATACAGAACATGTAAAAACAAGGGAATTATCAGGATCTTAATTCGGTGTAATTACGTGCATGCATACTTCTCCTAAGTGGAGGTAAAGTAGTAGTATATGCGGTCAAAAATGAATTCAATAGCTTTCCAATTCTAACTTCTAATTCTAATCAGTCTCAAAAATCATCAAATACTATGTAAGGGAAGGCCCTTAAAATGGAAGCCAGCTTCTGCCAACCCTTCTGGTTTTCCTCGGGCTCGTCCTTTTCGCCAGCATATGCATTCCATGTAGTTATTATTCATTGTCGTGCTTCAGCAAATATCAAATGGAGTCCAGGACTCCTTGTTCCCAGCTCCTTCCGCCTCGGCATCCTTCGAACTTTGTTTTCCGAGCTACTTTTATTTTGCACATATGACCGGGGCGGGGTGGAATGACGTGGATTGGGTGTGGCTGCTTTATTGGCAACCCCAGAACGACATTGGCAAAAAAATGATATTTTTAATCGAAACATTTGTAGCGTGAAATTGTCGTTATGTTTGTTCTTCTTTTTTAAGCGGCAATATGTTAGGATTTAAACGTATTTTGGGCTTTGGGTATTTTAGGCTGAAGTTCTAAACTACATAACTGAACATATCTTGATCTGATTTTGAAGTGGAATACCTGATTGCTTTCTGCTTTTCCGAAAATTTCAATAAAGTTGCAACTTTGACGAGCTGCGAAAATTGCTGATGTGTGACATTGATGCGCCTGCGAAGGACGAAAGCAGTCATTAGCCGGTCATTAATCATAATTAGCTGGGATCTGCACAACTCTTTAATTTGGAAGGCAACTTTAAGCGCTAGACGAATCGAACTGCTGGCCATAAATCTCAATTTTGCACAAATTAGGCGACGATATGCCAAGCCGCCCAAAAGCCGGAGGACTTGGCCAACTTCCGGAGCAGGTAACTGAAAGCCACACATCAGACACAACTATAACTCAACTCAGTTCGGTAGTTTTGGCTTCTCTTCTCGCTCGGTGACATCTGCTCAATTTATCGTTATTTTTGGACTGGTCCAAAACAAAAAATCAATTTACCCTATGATAAAGAACCAAGACAGGCCGGCAAAAAAAAACACTCCCATCGAAATGAAGACAGCGTCGAAGGGAGCTGGGAAAACTTTT